GCTGCTGGGCCCTGCCGCAGGAGTGTCGCGGGCTCTGCTGCGTCCTGCGTGGCTGACCGGACCTTCCTTCCCTTCCAGAACCTGACTGACAAGGCTGCCGTGTTATGACGACCCCCAACAAAGGAAACAAGGCCTTGAAGGTAGAGCAGCAGGTGGAGGAAAGGGGTGCAGGAGGTGGGTGCGGGCATCCGCTCCAGGTTTCACAAATGTGCACTGCCTTTTCTTCCAGGTGAAGCGGGAGCCAGGCGAGAATGGGACCAGCTTGACAGATGAGGAGCTGGTGACCATGTCTGTGCGAGAGCTGAACCAGCATCTGCGGGGCCTGTCGAAGGAGGAGATCATCCAGCTGAAGCAGCGTCGGCGCACGCTGAAGAACCGGGGCTATGCCGCCAGCTGCAGAGTCAAGCGTGTTACCCAGAAGGAGGAACTGGAGAAGCAGAAGGCAGAGCTGCAGCAAGAAGTGGAGAAGCTGGCCTCTGAGAACGCCAGCATGAAAATGGAACTCGATGCTCTCCGCTCCAAATACGAGGCTCTCCAGAACTTCGCCAGAACCGTGGCCCGGAGCCCCGTGACCCCTGCACGGGGGCCTCTCACTGCCAGTATGGGGCCCCTCATCCCTGGCAAGGTTGCTACTACCAGTGTCATCACAATAGTGAAATCCAAAACGGACGCCCGGTCTTAGTGAAGCAAGTCTTGCCTGAGCTTGTCTGTGCAGGGCAATTAGGCACAAAACCAGCCTGGAATCCCCAAAGCACAAATCCTCCCCACATGGGTCCGGGTTCCTTCCACTTGGCCCAGGACTGGCCTGCTGATCACTCCGGTTTTGTTTTGTTGTGTCCAGATTGGTATGAGCAGTGGTGGTGCGTCCCGTGTCCTGTGCAGACGTAGCCTCCTGCCCAGCGGTCCGTAGGCCTCGGGCGCCCTTGGGACAGGCTGCGAGATCTTGGCTTTCTAGCCAAAGAACGTCTGTGCAGCGTGGCTGACAGCAGGGTGGCGGAAGGGCTTGGGGAAGGTCCGGAGGGAGGCTTCTTCCTGGGGCGGGGAACCCGCGTGTCCGGTCGCTGCCAAAGGCTTTATTTCATGGCTCTTCCGGGCGGTGCATCTCGGTGCCTGACTGCCAGGCGCCCGAACCTGCTGCTTTTGTCTCATTTGGTACCCGTAGTTGCAGTTGGGGTGTTCTGTGTGATAGGTCTGTATTTCTTTCTAGTATGCCTCTGTGCCCGAACAGTGGGTTTCCTTCAGACGTCCGTTGCGTTAGCCGTGTAAACTAGCCGTGGTGGGAAGGAGGAGGCTGTCGTGCCCC